TCAGCGTGAATCACACCGCCGGTTATACAACTCGGTGGCAGCGAAGATCCACTCGCTGTTTGCTTTGTGTTGGTTAAACGATGGCGGCTGCTAAAGAGGTTAGCGTAGCTGCTGCTAGCATCAGCTGTATCAGAACTGGAGAGTCTTTCTTCGTTAAAAGAAGAGCAAAGAACCACACTGAAGGCTTTTGGCGATGTGAAAGTTCTCTTTTCTGCCGACTCACTTCAATAAGAGTTTGACTACATTATTTGGTTCATTGATCGCCCGTGATCGATGGTGATAGATGGTTTATCCAGTCACCTTCATTTCCAGCAACTTCCCAGAATTCAGCTGCTGCCTGCAGAGTTGAGTTCAGTTGGATATAAAAACACTGGCAGTCACATCCAGCCTGAAACACACCAAACCTCCTCCAGCATCCAAACCGCACAGTCACCGGGGACCTGTGGCCAAAATAACTTCACAAACCGAGCACATCGTCACCCAGTTTACGCTTCAAACTGGGTCGCAATTTCTCTCAAAGTGACAAAAGCAGTCACTGAAAAACTGATCTGAGGTCAGATCGGAGAGCGGCAGGTTGGGGACGGCGGCAGGTGCGTCAGGTGTCGACCTGACCTTTGACCTGACAGGGTTCGTGGAGTTCAGAGAAGCTTTGATGCCCGAGGGTCAGAGCTCATCAAGTTCTCAGAGAAGGAATCAGTCCTACTTTTAGAAAGAAAGCAGTTCAGTCCCAGAAAAGGTGTTTTTGTATAAGCTTGTGAAAGTTAGCCTGGATACACGTTTTCCTTCTCAGAATATCTGTTTGAAACTGAAGATTTATCAGATGGATTAAATAAACATGTAGAATTTAGGTTTTCCTAGAAAATAATGCTAGAAAATGCATTTTATCACAAATACGAAGCTGTCAGATGATGATTAAAGAACAGAAACACAACTGATCAACTTCTAAAAGCAACTTCTCATCAACTCAGATCAATTTCAAGCTTAATAAATAATGGTTGGTTCCGACCACCTCTGGGTTAAAGCCTGTGAACGCCCGCACATGTGTTATCAGTTAACCTGGCTGATTAGACCTCCGCTCAGACCACCTTCAACCTGGGCGGAGGTCTAATAACTTCTGTGGGGGTGTTCACACACAGATAACTTAGCTGGTTGAACAGATACAGATACGCAGGAAAAGTTGAGTTCATCCAGTCTCAGCGAGCAGCCGTGTAGACAAACGAGCTCCTGGATGAGACTCTGAGAGCAGAAGATGAAGGTTCGGGTTTATTGTTTGTAATGATGCTGAAGGAAAGACGAGTTGTGTGGGGGCGACACAGAGAAACCTCGAGGGAGAAAGAAACAACATGAACACGGTGTGAGGACAGAAACGTACCAAGAGAACAAATTAAACTAAAGACACTGAAAGCAGAGTGTGAATAAATGTGTGTGTTTCCAGTTTTACACCTTCACTTTTAAAGTATTTTGGGAACTGAGGACATTTTACAAAGTATAAGTGAAAATGTTGGACTGATTTTCTTTCTCATTTTATTTTTAAGAAGTGAGGATACTTTTGGAAAATTAGAATATTTAGTTAAGTGGGAACATTTTTGTCATTTTTGTCAGCCTTGTAGCTGCCATGTTAGCGAGATGCTGTCGGCAGACTATTTACTTTATTAATCCTTAACCGGGAAATTAGAGTTTGGATCGACGAGCAGCAGACAGACCTTGTTGTTGGTCCAGAGAACGTCTTTGTGTTATTCCTGTTTTATGAATAAAGTTTTCTGCAGCAGGAATGGGGGTCAGCAGGTTAGTTAGTGACACACACACGCGACTCTGAACCCGTCTAACCTCTTATATAACACGCGCCTGCTGCCTTCAAGTGCCATCAGAAATAACATGACTGCCAGCTGACAGCAGTCCGAGGAAATGATCCACGTGGTCACACATTTTTACCTTCAATAAATAACAATGTTTTATTTCTTTATCAGCAGCAGGTCGATTTCATCTCAAACATTATTTGACTCAGAATATCTTCCTGAGTCAAATTGAAGTTTTTTATTGAAGTCAAACCAAATTTGCAGCCATTAGTAATCTTAACACTTCATAAGGCACTGACTTTATATAATCTCACTGTTTCTATAGATCCATCTATAAATATCTGTCAATATCTATCAATATCTGTCACTTTTGTAATGTTTTTATGTATTACACTGTACTGTATTGTTCTTTATGTTTACTGCGGTTGGACAAACTGCCTATTAAATTAGTTTCAGGGAGCTTGTTTAGCTGCAGGGCAGAGGTCAGATGTTTCTGTGTAGACATGAATCCTTATACACGGTTAAACGAGAGATGAGTTTCTACTTGTAAGAAAGTAAGTAAGTAAATAAAAGAAATGTGGATTCAAGTCTGACTTGAGTCGAGTTCTACATCTTGGGTCTACAGACCTCCGCCCAGAAGGAAGAAGCATTTCAAATGGGATCATGGGTTAAGCTGTGACTCACCAATCAGCCTACTGGACTGTTTAACGATTAGATTCAGGGATTTTCTGTTCTGGTTTCCAAACCATGACACCAAAGAGAAAGATCTGATGTGAGGACATCTACCACTGCTGCAAGACAACCTGATTATTTCAAACACTAAACAGCAGCGGTGCAACTATCATATATGCAAGGTATGCAGTTGTGTAGGCGCCTGCAGCAGTTCAGGAACCACTCGCTCTCGTATCTGCTATAATCTTGATTGACGGGAGCTGAACCGACTTCATATGCAGCCAATCAATTTACATGTTATCACTGTGGGTATTTATAGTGGTCAGTGAACTGGTGTCTCTGTCTCACACTGATGTCATTCACATTCATTAACAGTAAAACACTTTTACATACAAACATTTTATTAATTTATATATTATATATTTATACAGTATGTACAGTTCTGTTGTACAATAGTCCGTCTACAGTTGTGTTTTTATGTTTCTATAATGCTGGTGAGCAGGAAACATGTTGTCAGATGTGAATGTGTGGCGCCGTCACAAATAGGATCATGTTTTATCTTTAATGCACACTCCTGTACAGCTCTTAACTCCTTTAAGTCTTCTTCTTCTCTTTTTATATTTGTATATATCGTCTCATTTATTGTCTCTATTTTTATCTTTATTTATATTTAGTTTTTTATTGTACTGCACCAGCTCACAGAGGCAAATTCCTGTATGTGAAAACCTGCCTGGCAATAAACCTGATTCTGATTCTGATGGTTTCGTATGTGTGAAGGTTTTGAGCAGTTATGGTCCAGCAGTCTGGTCCATCACTGTCGTTGCTATTATGACTCATCTTCTACAGCACATTTGTCTGTTTTTATTTCATTCAGGAGTCAGCTGTGCAGAGCGTTTCACTGTTGCTGGTCGTTTTAAAGCCGCTTTCACTCCTTTAATTTGCCGCTGACATTACATCAAGTTACATCTGGTTGCGACGGGAAGGCCCGCTTTGATCAGCTTGCATTGGGGCCCGGCGCTGACTCGTTACGCCGCTGCTAAACAGCTCTCTGAGTTTACAAGGTGCCCTTGAACGCAGCATCTGACCCACTGATCTCTGGGAGTTTGGTTTTATTTATATTTACTCGGCTGCTCTCTGCTTTGACTGAACGTCTCAGAAACACAGTCTCACTGTCTGCTCGAACACTCTCCGCTCCAACAGCTGTTACGTAACAAACGACTCGGCTCAGAGAAACTCAATGAAGTCTCTCCCTCTCTCTCCCTCTTCCTCCCTCCCCCTCTCTCTCTCACTCACTCTCTCCGTCTGCATACCAACAGAGAGCTGCAGGAAAATCTGCACACAGGAGACACATGGACGTTGACTCCATTAATTATGAGTGTGTGTGTGTGTGTGTGTGTGTGTGTGTTACAGATCAGTTATTCTCCTTTAAACAGCCGGGCTGCAACTATTGATTATTTTCATTATCCATTATTTTCTTGATTAATCACTTCATTGTCCATGGAGCCATGCTGGCCCTCAGAAGCAGCAGGGCCCCGGTGAATGGGCCCCTCCACAAATCTGCTTTACTCACATCAACTGGGGACGATAATGATCCTGCGGGACTTGAACCAGCAACCCTCCAGTTCCTAAGCCAAGTACCCACAGACTGAGCTGCTGCCCCCCCCCATATTTTATTGTATTTTATTCTTAAAAAATATATTCAATGCATAACAACAACAGTACACAACAACAGTAAACAGTGAACTCAGTAACTGCAGGAAGTTTGTGTAAAATGAATGAATTTTGAGCAGAGATGAGTTTTCCTCATATTTTCATACAATCTGTCTGAATTTGTCAAAAATGAAGCCTATTAAGTGTGTATGAGAAACAAAACAACATAACACAGTGTTTTATTCTGTCTGATGCTCGTTCTATTTGCTCTTTGGATGTAATAACGGCTTATTTTTTTATTGTAGACGATGAGATATTAAAGTTTTCTTACACCTCTTAAAAACAAGCAGGCCTCACCGAAGCATTGGCAGCCACTAGTGGGGGTCCCGAGCCCCAGTTTGGGAACCACTGTACTAATGCACATTATTGTAATCAAATATCTGCTTTGTGTTTTTATGGTTGTTGTATCTTTGTTTCTGGATATTCTTGTTATAAAATGCAATAAAACTTCAAATCAAACTGGAACTAAGAGACCAAACCAGGAGAAACCCTTCAGTGTGCACAGAGTCAGATTCATTCAGTTTTTAAGTTTCTTCGTTAAATGAAAGTTGAGTTCCTCCAGCTGGACAGTCAGGGCTGCCAGCTCTCTCTCTGTCCGACTCAAGTGACCGCCAGCGGCTTCACAAACACCAAAGCTGCGTAAAGGTTTCACCCAGAACCGTGCGTGTGTGTGTGTGTGTGTGTGTGTGTGTGTGTGTGTGTGTGTGTGTGTGTGTGTGTGTGTGTGTGTGTGTGTGTGTGTGTGTGTCTGAGCCTTTGAAGTTTGTGCTGCAGCAGGCTGACACACAGCCGACACACAGAAATAACAGAAAGCAGTCTGACCTTTGCTGAAGCCGGAGCCGGAGGGGCTGGACCCGGAGCTGCTGTGTCTCCTCGCCGGAGTCAGGTGCTCTCCAGCCCGCAGAGTCTTCGCGCTCGCCGGCGTCTCCATGACCGGCGTAGCGGGCTCAGAGCCGCTCCTGCCCGGATCGCTCGCCGACTCCATCCATGCACCGGAGAAAAGGAAAATCTCCAAAAGGAAATGAGCAAAATCCAAAATGTGATCGGTGAAAGAGAACCGGAGTGGAACCGACCGAACCAACGAGGCACCGGCGGAGCGGAGTGTGCGAGCAGCGGGAGGAGCGCGGCTGCTGGGCGGCTGTCAGCTCGCTGCTCTGAGCGCCGTTTGGAGGAGAGGAAGCCGGGCTGAGAGAGAGGGAGGGCGGCGCTGTGGAGAGCTGGGCTTCCCCTCCCTGGAGGCCGAGACCCGGACTGGATCCACACAGTCTCAAAGAGATCAGGTCTAAAGTCTGTCAGAAATATAACAAATAATGAATAAACTGAAATAAATATGCAGCAGAATGAGCATCCTCTGTACTGGGTGCAAAGGAGCCTGGGTAACAGGACATTAACTGTGTGTGATGAGCATGAATTTAACTTCATGAAAGTGTCACAGTCCCACTTTAAAAAAGCCACATTAAAATCTTCTCCCTCACTAAAAACTCCACAATCTGTTAATCTGAAATTAAAACTTTGTTCACATCTATCTATTAAATAAATGTTTATTTTTATATATTCCTAGACTGTAGCAGTGGAAGAAGCACTCAGATCTTTAAGTAAAAGTAGAAAAAATACTCCATTACAAGTAAAAGTATCAGGCTAATAGTATTCATTATGAGTGGCTTCTTCCACACTGTTATATAGAATATTATATAATCTGTTGTTATCGCTAAGGAACACATCGGTGGGATTTTAATGTTGCAGTTTATATACATATTTACTACTGGGTTAGTGGTCTGATCACCATGAGCATATTGTTATGTAAAAAGTAACAAGTAAGTGTCAAATGTAATGGAGTTCAAATATTAAGTATGATACAAGTACAAGTATGTCAAAATTTTACTTTACAACAGAAAATATGATCAAATCTGTTTAATCTCATGCAGTTTAATCCAATATCATATATATCAGACAATGAAGTAACTAATTACCTTTACACAAGTACTGTACTTAATACACATTTATACCTCAATACATTATTTGAAAGCTTTAGTAACAGTTTCAAAAGGATTTATACAAAATATAATAAACAAATCAATTATTATGTAATATTATATTTTAAGTATCCTAACATTAGCTCCACTTTTACCATCTGCAACATTAAATGACACAATTATAATCATATTTATTCATATATTTATATCATATTTGGATGAATTGGAGACCACAACAGTCAGTCTGGGTTATAACTGAATATTTATCAGAACGTTTACTAAAACTGTGGGAAAGGAGAGAGAGGAGGACGCTGGGGATCCACTGGGAGTTTTCTATGAAACCACATTAATACGTTCCACCACAAACTGAACCACCGATGAAACTAAAGCCCTCCGACTGCAGCCCAGACTCGAGACCACCACCAGCCGCTGCACTCGAAACTAAAGAGACAAAAGATACTAAAACTGAGACCATATCATGTGACCCTTTAAGCCAATATTCTGTGAGGTACTAATAATTTAAAGCTAAACTAATAAATACATACCTCACCACCGGCTTCATCTCTTTTTCAGCCTTTCTACCTTCAATAAAAGTTATGGCAAAAACACAAAACCTCGAGCTGCTTGCACCCTACAGTAACAATATAAATGAGTGATAGATCGATTAATCTGTTGGTTAATCTCACATGTAGAGATAATCTGGGCAACCTTGTGATTGACAGCTCATTCTCAGTGAGTCCGTCCAGCTCAACCAAACTCAGATCAAACTGTCAAACAGTGCTGATCAGATATGGATCCAGATCCTGTTGTTGACTATTTCTCTCCTCAAATCTGTTCACAAACACATTTTACTGTTTATCTGGAATACCAGATCCTGTGTGAGCAGGAGAGCAGCCATTGTTTCCAGACCAAGAGCAGCCAATGAGAGCAGCTCAACTTTCAGTATGTGACCTCCGCTGGCTCCGACATGGCGACGACCGTAACGCCACACAGGAGGCTTCAGAACGGTTCTCCACAAACCGATGGGAGGCGTCACAGCAGGTTCACACTTGGTAGAAACATGGCGGTCCAACATGGCGGACTCTGTAGAAGAGGACCAACAGATCTGGGTATTTTTTCAACCACCGATTGTTCATCTGTTGGTTGGAAGTTACTGAGACAATGAGGTTCAATGAGACAGATGAATCAATAGTGAGAATATTGATGATGTCTGACCAGATGGCTCTGGACTCCCCTGCAGGCAGCTGTCCTCCGCTGTGTCTTACTGCCTCCCTCTCTACCTTTTCATCATCAGATTTTTCTAATTTCCTTTTCGCCAAAAGCTTCTCAGTGCCTGGGACGTTTTAAAAAGAGGATGTTGCTCCAGATTTCATCACTTTAATTAGTTCAGATGAAATAAAAGAGCTGAATGATGATTATTTAGAGCGGGCACGAGGACTGGAGCAGTCGGCAGCCTGCAGTGAAGAGCCTCAGGAACGCTCACATTATACTCATTTCCATCTCAACATCCACCTGCTGCAAACTGCTGCTCCTTTTAAACTGATCTCAGATCAGAGAGCTACACTTTAAAGCCCTGATCTGGTGTTCTTATCCAGGAAGTCTGAGCCCAACAGTCAGAAAGTTTCCTGTCCTGTGTGTCCAACCAGCCCGCTGTCATTCCCAGGTCGTCCTTTAGTGCCAACACCTTTAGTTTCGGTTCAGTTCAGTCATCGTCAGGCGCTCAACAGAAGAAAATAACATGAATGTAAAAACCGTTCCTGTACATACGTTATATAGTACACAATGACACAACAACAATGCTAAAACTACATGTGAAATGAAGCAGGGTTATTGCAGAAGTTTTACTCCTATTGGAGGAGGTGGTTTGTACAGTACAGTATGGACCCGCCCTTGTGGAGAACCTGCTGGTCCCAGATAGCCATCACAGGGTTCATTGTATGAGACGCAGCGGGCTGCCAGGGTCACCAACCATAGCAGTCTAATTTTTTTTGAAAAGCTGAGGTGTAATCAGGCATTTTAGGCTGCAACAGTCCCTAAAAAAGGCTGTAGATATCCTGCAGGGACGGATTTGGTGACGTATGGTTTGTGTGTGGAAATATATGTTTGGAGAAACTGCCCAAATGTGTGGAAAAGTCGCAGTGATTGGATCAACCTTCCAGGAGGGACAGACTCTGGAGGAGGTTCACAGGTCTCGGAGGCTGAACTGGGAGGTTTTTGTTCTTTGATGCAGTTCCAGAGGCTTCCAGGTAGCATCATTAAACAGTTCCATAACGAGCTCCACTAATGAAATCTGCATTCAGCCGGTCCACATTATCACACTGGCGTCATTATAACAACAGGTTCCTCCGTTCAGGCAGTTGTGAATCAGACAGGTGCGATAAAGCCAGTCATTAGTTGTTCCTGTTCATCACCGCAGTCACATCTCGTCAGGGAGGAGCTCCCGCAAGCCGTCTACAGCTGCCTCGCCCTCCGCAACCCTCTAGAACCGTTCCCACGCGTCATTCACATTAATGTGAAATATTCAAACTGAGCAAAAAGTATTGTGTATCGAGGACCGGCTGCAGCAGAGGACAGAAAGCAGAGCCGGAGAATCCGGAGGGATAAACACTGAGGGGGGAAGTAGCAGAGTACAAATACCTTCATTAATGTTCTGTTAATGTACTCAAATATTTATCTTACATTACTTTTTACTTTAACACACTACAGCCTGTCTGCTGCAACCGCGGAGATGCTGACCTCTGATGCTGATTAGTCTCTTTGTCCATGTTGACAGGAGGAAAATTGCTTTATGAGAACAGAAAACAAGCATTTTAAAAGTTGTTTGGTTGTTGCCTTGAGGATAATGCAGAAAACTGCATCATGATGTAGTTTCTTCTGCATCCTTCTGATCCATTTATTGCAATCCAATAAAATAAATCTGTTTATTTTGGGTTCATAGATGGATTAAGGGCGAATATTTGAGGGTTTATTTATTCACGGTTAAACATAAGGCAAAAATCCCTGTTGCGTTTGGTGTGAACAGTTTTGTTGCAATACCGGGACTGACCACTATGACACACGGGGGCGCCATATCACATCTGATAATACATTTGTTATTAAAGACATCATTTATTGATTTACTTTTACGAGGCATGCTGTCCTCCTGCTCTCAGGACTTTCACCTTTTTGATGAAGATGCTTCAGATCACAACAACTGAAGCACAAGCTGACCTGTGTTAGTCCGATGATCTGATGATCTGATGATCTGACCACTAGGTGTCCCAGTGAGCCACCAGGCTCGATACCTGCCGTCCTGGAACACCTGAATGTAACGCAGCCTCAGCTGGAGTGACCTGTTCATATGATGTGTCATTAAACACAGAGGAGGAGGAGAGCTGGAACTCTGCCGCCATCTCACAACCTCATCAATCACAGCGTGGAGTGAGTGCGTCCTCCTCCTCCTCTTCCTCTGAGAGCAGCCATCAGTTATCCTGACGGGGAGTGAAGTTCTCAGCGGCTGGTTTGTCCTCGTCGTGAATGAAGTCACAGCGACTGAAGAGAAGGACGCTGTGATATTCTATCATTTCACCGGTCAAATGAGTCACATGAAACTATTCATTTGAGTCATTTCATTATTAAACCTACAAAGAGTTTTTAACTGGTTAAAATGAAAGTTACAGCTAATTCTAAAATATTTATTCTACACTGTAAAACCTGACAACACATCTTATAAAAAGTAAGCTAACATAAATTAATCCTTAAAATAACTCACTCGTTCACATCAATTAAACTCAGTATTTTAATTATTGGTGATTCCAGTTTGTTCCACTGACTCACTTTTTTGAAGTTTACTTTATATTATTATAAGTGTAAGCACTACAATGCTATATATATATGTTTTTATTTCAGTTATTAATCATCATAAACCCAAATATGCATCCAAATAATTCTAAATGATCCTCCAAAGTGTAAAGATTAAACGTTTGTCACATAAATAACACAGAAAATGAATTGGCAACCATTTCGATAATCAATTAATTATAAATAGTTTTTATCGTACGTCAGCTGTTTTGACCGGTAAGGTAATAATTTGTTTTAGTGGAAGAAAACTGAGTAAATTTAAGCTTCGTGGTAACATTTGTATAAAGAAGATTCATTTAAGTTGTTCAGATAAATTCTGTTCAGAC